TTTTTTTTTTTTTTTTTTTTTTTTTTTTTTGGAAGGCCGGTTCTGGTGGTTCGCCCTGGGCATGACCCAGTGACCCACAGCCCCCCCCAAGTACCACCTTTGCTCCCCACATGCCCCCCCCTGCACAAACGCGTCAATTGCGTCTACCTGCGTTCACTGAACGCGCGTTCAGTGCGGTTAGAACCTGAACGAGGAACGCGCGTTCAATGAACGCACGGTAACACAGCCTGCCACTACTCCTCTCCTACTCTCTCCTCGCACGAGCACACTTGCTCGCGTGCTGATCCTATGCCTGACTCCGGTGTGGTGTACGAGAGTGCACTTTGCGCTGTGCTTACACTGTAAGCCACTTAACGCTACGCTGCACGACCAGGCTTTGTGCTATGGTGGTGACTGATCTTCCAGCGACACCGGCCATGACCTCTTAGGTATGGAATCCTAACCCCGTCCCCCATAAATCCCAACGCTGCATTACCCTACAACCTCTGACGACCCTCTCTCCCCCTTCTTTCTTCCCCCCGAGTTGCTAACAGGAGCTTGTACTAAGCTAACCCCTCTGATGAGCTGCTATGGGTGCTTGGCGGCGAAAAGCGCGCTTAAGGGCGTGCAGCGCCGTGCACCCCCCTTATGACTGTCCTCAACAGTCATTGCTAACCTTAATTACTGAAATGCTCCCCCATAAACATAATCTAAATCACAAACCCCTCTTGCATCCTCACAGATGAGTTGATGGCTAAAACAACCACTATGTTTAAACTGCTACGAACCTGTCGGTGGAGAGGATTGAGCCGGTGTTGGACTTCTTCAACGGCGTCTGCTTCTGGATCCCTCTGCGGTGGTGACGCCATCTCCTTCAGGCTCCTCCTGTGGTGGTTCTGGATTGCACGTTGGATCTCCTTGAAGTAGCCGCGTGGCTGGTTCGTCCGACTCGCGTGGCTGGTTCGTCCGACTCTTCCACTGACCGCTTTCCTTCTGCCTTTTCTCGCCTCCTCTGGACTGCAGCTTCGTCTTCCTCCTCACTCCGCTTGTTGGAACTGTCTGATCCGTCCGACTCACTTTCTTCCGGCTCGCCTTCCTCAGACTCGCGGTAATTGGGGTCGTCCGATGCCTCCCCCAAGTTTCTTTCTTCTTCTTCTTCGCTCGCCTCTTCTTCCTCTTTGTCTAACTCTTCTTCTGCTTCCACCTCCACTCTTCGAATGATCGGATCTCACAAGGCGAGATCGGTCATGTCGATGACCAGGTAATGGCCGGAAGAGCTATGAATCTCCCATGGAGGCGGCCGTGGGCGGCCATGGCCGCAGCCGCGACCCCGCGGCCATGGCCACACGGCCGCGCGACTTTGCGGCCTGTCTCTTATACACATCTAGATGTGTATAAGAGACAGCTCTCGACCCACACGGGTCCCGCTGCCACGAACGTCTCTGACACTCCAGCTCCTCCTGCGTCCTGCTGTCCTCTGTCCCCTTCCACGAGGGGCGAGTCCCAATGCCTCCCTCCAC